CGCCCGCCTTCCTCTACAACCCGCTCAACAAGCAGATCGACTGGGAGAGCCGCGTCCTGCGGGCGCCCGAGGAGCCCCCCCGGGAGTTCAAGGTGTGGAAGAGCAACGCCGTGCCCCCGCCGGAGATCTACAGCCCGCCCGAGAAGAAGCCCCCGCCGCCCCCTGCCCTCGACATGGCCATAATATGATCACAATTACCTAAAGAGAACTTTTTTAAAAAATCCTGACCTAGGTGTGGCAGCAGAGAAACATTACTGCTGCTTAATGTAGACTTATTAAGTAAGCACTGTTCTTACAACTGCTGTTTAGCTCTCATGAAGCTATTATAATGAAAACAAAGAGAAATATGTTCCCTACATGTGACGTATTTTCAGTTACAGTCCTACTCAGTTTGTAGCATGCCCTTAGAAATGGCACACCCTTTCAAAGTTGAGGAGGGAAATTTAGGGGTTGCTTTTAATTTTTCTCCTCTTTTTCACTTTGAATGCAATTCTTTCTGCTCTCCAAATTCAGCACCATTATGTGTACAAGGTGTTCATACCAAATGCAGCCTTGAGAATCACTTCAGATGTCAGTCTTAAGTGACCTGAAGAATGTTAAGAAGCTCCTGTAGGAAACAGGAAAATTGTGGTCATAGCTAAGCTGCATTGAGCATCAGTCTGAAAGAGCTGAAAAAGATCAAGATCGTAAAGTCTCACCTAAAGATACCTGTAGACTATTCAGCTGCAGTCTAGCTGCCCCCAGTCTAAACCAGTCATATTTTCTAGCAGCTTGGCAGAAAGTCTTCACACTCTAAATCTCTCTTTTTTTTTTTCTTTTTTTTTTTTTTCTTCCTGGAAAGCAATATCCCAGCTGCTCTTGAAAGTTAAGCAGCTTTTGCTGGGTAAAGTGAGTTGGTTTAACCTATGAGAAGCATGTGGCTCTCATACTGAAAAAAATTATGTAGTTTGTACAAAGATGGCTATTCCCTACGAAATCTACTTATTGGGGGTTACAGTAATAGCCCAAATAAACCCTTAGTTATGCTTATACTCTGCATATTCTAAGCACTTCACAGTTTGCATCACCTGGATACAAATCCTGATCATATTCAGATCCCATATCAAGCTGAAGCATTAGATGGTCCCATACCCTTGCTTCTGACGTGTGAACCTTGTTGCAGGGACTGTAGGTAAGTGTTGTGACCCTGGGAGGAAGCTGTCCCAGCTGGTGGGTGGAGGAGCTGGCCTGCCAGCATGCATCAAGAGCTGTGAGCAACAAAACTACAGGGCAGAAAAGCTCTTTGGGACCCCAGGTGCAACCATGAAACAGGCATTCTAGGTTCTAAGTGCAGTGAGGAAGCTGCTGAACTGAAAATTTCAGCTCTTTAGGTATAGGGTCATTTCTGTGTTACATACTTCTGTTGGCTGAATAATAGTAGGTGACTCAATGGGTTCTTTCCTTTTGTTCTTTCACCGTATCATTAGTTAACATTCTAGTTTTAAATTCACCAGTTCTCCCCACTGACCCCATTTTCCTAAAAATTTATGTTCCATACCTATTAGGTATGGGTACCTGCTCCAGTTTGGCAACATTTCACTTTCCTACTGTTAGAGATGTAAATACATTATTCAGGAATACTCCTACGTGACTGCATACCAGGTCGCAGTGATTCGTACTAGGCAGTGGTTAACTAATAAATTATGAAGATCTTCATGCATTGAACTTGCCTCAAAAGGAAAGAGTTACTTATGGCTCAAGTTTAGTAAACAAAGAAAACAATAAACAAGGTATGCACAACAATGACAAAACTACTTTTTTTAAAAAACAATCAATTTTAAAAGGATCTAACTAAACTGCTGCAAGCTGTGTGTTTGCTGTTAAATCAAACGGGCTATATCTCATCAGTATAAGAAAATTTAAGAGAAAACTTTCAGAAAGGCCTCTAAGACTGTGTTATTGATCCTCTTGTGTACAAATATGGGTAGACCTTCCACATTGTATAAGTTGTGACTCATTAGGATTGTCTGTGGTTGGCATCCTGTCACATGTGTACATACAAAGACCAAAAAAATGTGATCTGCATCTTAGTCTATTAGTTATTATGAAAGGCAGTACATGTCCAATGACAGGGTGGTAGAGAGGGAGACTTAGACAACCTCTATATTCACTCATGGCTGCTGTTTGTACTTTTGTCTCTCCAGAAAGTCAAGTCTTGCATCTTGCTAAATGTGTCTATAGTGAGCACACACTGGGCCTTAATTACACTAGAACGCTTTCATCATTTCTTTCATCATTTCTTTCAACATTTGTTCAGTTTAGTTTTAGTTTTAAATTCATCACTTCTCCTTACTGCCTCGATTATTCCCAAAAAACATGTTGCAGAATTCATCACATACAAGGTTTAACTGCTGTTTCAGCCATGTTGATTTTAAATAAGACTGAGATTTAATTAAGGTCCGTTCTTTTTTTCAGTATAATTTCCGAATTCTTCTAGTAACAGTTCTTGTACCACAACTTCAACTTAAGTCTCATACTCAACATACAGAAGCAGTGAAAAGAGTGTTAAAAGTCTTTGCTACCTACTGTATCTATAAGCTGAAACCTCTACCCACTTTGTGTTGTTATTAGGACTTAAAATCAGTGTTTGTATTATCTTTTGTAAGAACACTGCAAACACCTATGTTCCAGCAAAGAATGGAGCAAGTCATATTTTTTTCAATATGTGTGTGTTTATGAGTGAGGGATGAGAAAGAAACTAAGTTAGGGATATATGAATAACAAAAAAATTTAGGCTTCAAACCAGGAAGGTCATATAACTGTGCTTCAATTTAAAAACTGAATAATCCCATTTACTATTTATGCTGTCAACATACATAATTTTTCCCTTGATGACACTTTAATTTCCTCATATTGAAATTATACTTATGTATATGCAACTGATGAAGAATTATAAGATAGTCTGAAATTTCACTCGCTATTTATTAAACTTTAAATTTACATTGCCCTAGATCTCTTTCTCCTTATCTCCTTGTTAGAATTTTAATATGTATTGTATTTTTGTTATGGAATCATTGCAGGAAACAATGATATTTAAGCTAGCTCCCCTGTTGCTGGAGGGACCCAGCAATAATGGTATGAAGAAAAATGAAGAAATTGATGTTGCACTATTGCATTGTCAGACTCTGGAGTTTTTTCATACCTCCTTCTCCACCTTCCCCAGGTGTATAAAACTATTTTTAAAGGCAAGTTTCTATCTTGGAAAACTGCTCATTGCTACTGAATGCTACTGAAAACACCTCATTGTAGTGTGAAGTTTCCTCTGAGAGGAAGAATCCATTTTCATATGGATGAATCCATTTTCTCCAATTAGTAAAGCTGATAAGTGTTATTCTATATAGTGAAAGAAATAAAAGTGTGTGTGTGTACGGGGAAGGAAGGAATCATCTAGAATCATAGAATTGTTAGGGTTGGAAGGGACCTTAAAGACCGTCTAGTTCCAACCCCCCTGCCATGGGCAGGGACACCTTCCCCTAGACCAGGTTGCTCAAAGCCTCATCCAGCTTGGCCTTGAACACTTCCAGGGATGGGGCATCCACAGCTTCTCTGGGCAACCTGTTCCAGTGCCTCACCACCCTCTCTGTGAAGAATTTCTTCCTGATACCTAATCTAAACCTCCCCACTTTCAATTTAAACCCGTTACCCCTTGTCCTGTCACTACAGGCCCTTGTAAAAAGTCCCCTCCCAGCTTCCTTGTAGGTCCCTTCAGGTACTGGAAGGTGCTATAAGGTCTCCCCGGAGCCTTCTCTTCTCCAGGCTGAACAAGCTCAACTCTCTCAGCCTCTCATCACAAGAGAGGTGCTCCAGCCCTCTGAACATCTTTGTGGCCCTCATCTGGACTCAAGGAGCCTGTAATTGTTGTATAGGGATGATAGATTTCCATTTAACAGGTGATAAAATTAAATGGGAAAATTTAAAATTGCCTTCCTATTTACATTTTACTATGTACCTTTTAAAGCTTTATTAACAAACAATATGAAGAAATGTGTCGACTATTAGGTCTGCATTATACACACCTTTTTTTTTATTCAAAGCACACTGTCTTTATGAAGTAACTCGAATTTATTGTTTGGATATTCAGGGTCTCAAAATGAGTCATTAATTTGTTCAGTATATTTAACTTCTAAGGTAGCGGTGGGGAGGTATCCCACTAAAGCAAAAGCAAGCAAAAACATCTGGGAAGAAGAAATCTTTACTGGGAGATAACCATAAGGATTTGCTACTGTTCAATCACCTCACAAGGTCCACCATTAGTACTTTTATATTGTTGAATCTGTTTACTTCACTTTGTACTCTTCCAAACCACATATATAGAGTGAAATTCCAAATACTTGGAAGCAACGTGTAGCTACAATCACTGTGTGCAACTTCATTGTTTAAAATTCCCCACATCCTTGTTTAAATACTTTTGAGGCTCGTCTAGAGCATTTCCTCCATTTTTGTTATGTGAAAAAGATTCCACTTTCCCAGATTATACCACAAGTTATAGTGCTGTTGTTTTGTTATGTGTCTGAAGAAAAATAACAGAATCAGTTACAGTTGACTTCCTTCTTTACAGTATTCTGCTATTTTCTGTGACAAATGACCTCAAATAACAGTAAGACTACCTCCCATAACAAGCAGTTGTCTATATAAATTTTTTCATCATAGATGTACATCTTTTTCCTTGGAAGCATCCATGACCATGAGTTCCCTATTATTTTGTTATTTTGTTTTATTTGCCTCTTCAATGGTTTTGCAGATCTCCAGCATCTGACATTATTTTTTTTGCTATACAAAATTTCCTTTGCAGACCCTTTTTGTTCATGTTTTCTACTGAACAAATTGTCCACAGATAATAACCAGACCTAATCATTCTGCATTTTCACAGAATATACATCTATGCACTTTGCCTGTAGTACTTTATTTTTAACTGAAGTGTTGGACTGGGAAAGAGGATTATGTGTAAAAACCTTTATTTCCCTGGCAACTATTTAAAGTCAGCCTGACTAAATCAGGTTCCTTTTCATATGTTAATAATTACATTGAGCATATCGTAGCTAACAAAACATATCCAATAACAATCACTCAGCAAGCTAGGAGATCTTCTAGAAGGTACTCTCAAATGGAATAAAACTAAAAATGAAGAATAAAGTCCCCTTTTCCAGACTGTCTTAAACACCCCAGACTGGGAGTCTAAATTTTCTAT